CTTTTTCAGTATTTTGAGGCTGAGAGGAAATAAGGCATATGTTATTTTTTAAAACTTGATACCTGTTTGCCCAAGGAGGTGCTTGTTCCTTTTTTTTAGGTGGAAGCATTTGGGAATTAGAAATCCCAATCTGATCCTGGTGTGAGCACTGTTTCCTCAATGTCGTGACAAAAAAAAAAAACAAAACAAAAAGAAACAAACAGTGGCTAACTTAGGAGATTGGTGCTAAGGATTTCTATTTGATATGGCTTCAAAAGTCACAAACACATTCTGCATTCCATGAGGCTCTGGTGTGGTGGGACTGGTGYAACCAAGCAACACAGGAAGGAAATCGGTGCTACTGCTGCAGTATGGCCRTGATGTACAGAGTGTATCAGTGGAAATTTCTTTCTACTCAGACTAAAAAATTTAATTCGACTTGCTCAGTATCAGGTGGAGGTTTATATAGTGCCTGCTTCTCTGTATGCAGGATTGCATGATTAAAGGATAGAAATGTTCAGAACCAAAAGAAGTCCTATTTTTACTTCCAAAGCAGAAGAATTCACTTTGTTAAGGATCTTTTTGTTTTTATTTTTTTCTTTTTTTTTTTTTTTCCCTTCATTTTAGGAGCACTGAGGATGAGGGAAAGTTTTATAAGTTTACTGAGAGAGGAGAAAAGAGTCAGGCCTGTTTTAGTTGATCTCATCTACCAGAGATTTCCAAACCTGCTTTTCCTCAAAGAAAATACTGCGTTTTTTTTGGTGCTATTTTCTCTTACATCTTACATCTTACATCTCTTATTTCCCCAGTGGATAACTGAGTTAGAGGAATCAAAACAACCAAAAGAGCTTTGTGAGAATCATGGGTTATTGCAAACCTCATGTACAYTTAGGCTTCAAGAAACTTTCTTGTGTGGCTCACTGTGCTACAGCATTGACTCTTTTGCTGAGGTGGACATAAAGCCTTGTACACTCTTGTGTCCTTTTGGGTATCAGCAGTGGTTGTAAGCTACCAAAAGAAGTGATTTTCAGTTACTAGGGATTGTAAATAGATATGAGATATGATTATAAATCTCCCTAAGGCTGTGAAGGTGATCATGCAGTTGGGTGGTTGAGGTTTTGGGTTAAAATTTTGGAAAGGCAGATGTGGGAGAGAGCAGTATGGAGAGTGAGAACATTCTTGGTCTTTTCAGGTGCTGGAAACCTGATATCATGCTTTGGATGGTTTGCATCAGGCAGGTACCCTGACTCACATTACTGGCTGCTCAAGGACTAGACAAAAATAGTTTTTCAAGACTGATCCAAAATGGGATCCATTTTCCTCAAAGTGTGAGACTGTGCTGCTTCTCCTCTGTTATCCCAGTGGAAACTGAGCAGATCATGGAATACATACTAGGGAAATGCTTGCTAGTAGGAACTTTTTGGGCCAGACCCCTATTTTTGCACAGCAAATAAGTTCAAGAGGATGGCTGCAGATCTTAGTGCTGAAATTTTGGGGGTTTTATTTTGGTTTGGGTTTTTATTTTAAGACATCAACAGTATGATCACCAATTTGTCATTTCTGCCTCCTGTACAACTCTGCTCATCTCAYTGCTCTGTTTGCCATGGCGTGTTCATATAAGCTGCAGAGGAGGAGCAGGCTGAGACATGTAGGTTGACTGGATRTAGGGAAACATCTGGAAATAAGGAGCTGCAGAAAATGCTGTGAGAAGATAAAAATCTTGAAGGATGTGACTAGGAAAGGTTAGAAGAGGGTCAGGGAGGAGCCAGCATCATGCAGTGCTCTTGGAGGGTGGTGACAGCCCAGGATGCAGGACCTGAACACAGATGAAGCAGCAGCAGCCTCCTGCAGCACGGAGCTGCSTCTCATTTAAGAGCTTTTTAAAGAACACACAGTTAAAAATAAAAAATGTTTGTGCAGCGCTGGCTCTCTGCATGCTAACATGAAGGAGAATGCAAATGGAAGTGTGAGCAACAAGGAGGAGGTGGTTTAATGGCTTTGGGGATTAGCAGCRGTGTTTAGAGCCTTTCACCTCTCTGTACCTAACATAAATCTTCAACACAGATTGATGGTTTTAGCCATTAAGCCATGTGTTTGCTTGTATGCCACAACTAGGGAGACAGGGAAACAACCTGAGCAGYAAGGCAAAAAGCAAAAACAAAAGCATCTGACAGAAGGCAGCATTCCCTTCTGCAGTGTCAGTAAGAGCAGATATGATGTAATTATTCCATTTTCCAAACTTGTCAGATAACAAGGCAGTGAAAGAGCCTCAGGCATCACTTGGTACAGGACCCCACCAGATCATGTGTGGCTCGTGTGGTTTACACAAAGGGCTGTGCTCTCAGCAGCTTGCTCCCAAATATAAAACTCTCTGATCTTTAGAGATATAGTTACCCCGGGGAGCCTAGGAGTTCGAGGGARACTTTCAATCATAGGTTGTCTTCCAACTGTAAATTGTTTTGTACTCGAGTGGAAACTGTTCTCCACACATCATCCATCTAACACCTTAATTTTGTGTACTGTAACTCAATTTATAAACTGGAAAATTTTGCACTGTGACCCATATGACACATTTTAGATTAGAAGGTTTTCTTGTATCCTAAGCCTTCTAAAGGTGATTTTTCTTGGGGATGGCTGACCCTTTCTGGTAGTCACTGTCAGCTTTCCTCTCACTCCAGATTGCAAGGTCAGTCATTCCTTTTCTAGCAAGGTCATCTTGGTAGAACTTCCCAAAATCAGAGCTCTAATGGGGAAGCCATGTGAAAGGTCATTATTCTGCTTCTCCAGCCAGAGGAATAACTGAGTGTGGGTAGATGTGTGCACATACTAGAGCACGTTTTGCTAGTCAATTATTTTCCAACCACTCTCAAGTGAGGGTGAGAAGTACAGAGGATCTCACCTTTGGTCTTTCCAGTGCAGGAGTTTGGACAAGAAATATTGACAACATGTCTTTGAGGAAGTGTTTCCTGCTGTCAATGATTCACTCATGTTATTCTGTGGCTGTGTCGAGTTTTGCTTTGGGATTGACTCTCTGTGGTGCATATTTCAAACCAAAACAAGTCTTTCAAAGGCTTCTTCTAGRTGGAGTAAGAAAATAACATAGGGAAAATTTTTAAAAGGAACAAAAACTCACTAAACAAAACTAGATAKCAAAATCTAACAAATCTAAGTTATGGTAATCTTGGCACTGATTTTAACTTTCTATTAGTCACGTAGAGCTTCAGTAAAAAAACATYTTTACTTCTTCACAACCAGTGACCAAGAAACTGTCCTTAATACCTTTTTTTTCCACGGGGTAATTGAATGCATTTTGGCTATAGACTTCTAAACCACTGKTTTTTGTCTCAAATAATTGGTTTTGGCATAGAGCTCTGTCAGGTAAACATGGTGTTTATCACTTCAGTCAGCCATACCAAGGTCAGTGAAAGGGAATGTTTTATATTTAACAGGGAAACGCTTCCACCAGATGGATTARTAGTGTGAGAATAATAATTACAGACACATGAAGTGGCTGGGGATTGCTGTCAAATAAAGTGAAACACAGATTCATATCTAGATTGGGGTAAATTTTTCAAAGGCACCACARTGACTCAGAGATCACCTCAGCAAGTGATTGGGAGACCAACTTCCATTTTCAGAAACGATGTGGAGGCTTCACTGCCTTTCAGCAAGCCTTAGGTTCCTTTTCCCAGAAAAAGAAAAAAGAAAACCACCCAGCCTTTAATTCACAATTAGTTCACAAAAGCAGTCTTTGCCTCTTCATAATTATATTGCATAATGACTTGCCTACTTTTTAATAACATCAGATTTCTTGTCTATGTCTATTATCACAAGCTTAGAAGCTATTCTGTTGCTTTGGGAATTTCATATTCCAAGTCACTTACAGAACTATAATTAAGAACTTCCACAGAAGACCAGGTGATATATGTATGTTAAGATATTATATTCTGCTGATTTAGTGTCAAGTCTTAGATTTATTGGAAATTTTATCATGCTGGTTTYATTATAAATGCTTCCATGGAAAGAACATGTTATTGGAAACTGAATAATTAATAATCTCTCTGTTAATCAAACGTTCTCTGAGCAGTTTGTTGAAGAATAGTAAAACTCCAATTGAAAATCCTGACTCTGTTGAAGCCAATGAGAGAATTCCCATGGACTTTAACCGGATTCTTCATTTTCATCTTAAAAATTACTTGTCAAAGCTTCTTAAGGTTGTGTGTACAAATTTATATTTGTACARGAGAGGCTTATGTGCCTTTTTCACCTCCAAAACAACTGTTTGAAGAATATGGAAAAAGGAAGTAAAACATGCAGTCCTTTGGGCCAGACTAAAGTGTACTCAAGAGAAATGTAATCTACTGTTGTTTAATACCTTCTGAAAGTTCTGCCCTCCAGATCATGTCTGAATGAGATGGAAAGGGGAGAAGGATGGATACAGATCCATGTGCTGAAGATTCAGAAGCACGAAAATTCTCACACTCATGACTTTAATGTTTAGAATGAATTATAATTCCCAGTGAAGGCCTCTATTATTAACCAATTTTTCTGCTCRCATGCTGCTTAGAATAAAGTTTCAGGCTCTAAATCTTGATGAGAGCAGCACCTAATTTTGCTCTTAAACCAATTTGCCTGTTTSACAAATTTTTAGTAACTTCCTTATGTGATATGACTTCTGGGTAGCTAGTTCTCTTCTTGGTATAGCAAATTGTTCCAGAGAAACAAAGCAAACTAAAATTGTCAAATAAAGTAAAAGCTCTGCAGGAAAGAGAATGGAATTTCATGTTTTACCTGTCTTAATTTCCAGAATTTTCTAAATCATGCAGTTTTATTCCCTGTCTTTATTCCCTGCATTTCCTGTGTCTAGTAGTAACCARTATCAAAACCTTTCCCATCCAGCTCCAGATTTCACAGCAAAATGCTAAACAGGAGGAGGGCAATTTGAAACATGGAATATTTCATTTTAGATGTTTGCTGGTATTCCTGGTAACCTTTTACTTTCTTTAATTTTTTTTTGACAGATGATGCTAATGAAGAAGGGGGTCAGCTGAGTGAAGAGAGAGGTGAGTAAAGATTATTTTATGCTAAAATATATTAGTTCAATAAAGCATAAACCCAAACTGAAAAAATTCTATAAATTAATTGCCTTGGTCGAGATAAGCAATGCTAATCATTAATTCCCTTATTACAACAGCCATCTCTGCTTAGGGTGAACCAWCCCTGATAATAAATAGTGCATGGTAAGATTTGGCCAAGACCACTTTTTTACTGTCATCATCTCTTATGAGCCTCTGGGCAATACTTCATTGCTTTTAATCAATAGCTACTTAAACATGAAGGGGAAATAACAATTCTTCAGTCTCTTTGTAAAAAAAAAAAAGTGAATAGAGCATTTCTTCAGTCATTTGCCATTCTGAATAGTGGCAGTGATTTGTTTGCAAGGAAAACAGGAGATTAACTTTTCCACAAACTCTTAAATATATGAGCCCAAAAACAGAGGCAAAAGCTTTTGAAGCAATATGTTGACTACTTAAATTGGCAAGATTGTCCTAAAGACAAAAGGATTATGATACTGTATGAGACCACTTAATTACCTTAGAAATTAGAAATATGTGAAGAACGGTGTGCATGCATAGGTGTGAAAACACAGATATACACAGATGTGTTATATTGATGGATTGGCACATTCTTTTATGGCTTTTATTATGGATTTTATTAAATCTAATTGTAATTATCTTTTGGTGTCAAGATTACTGGATATGAACTTTTAGTAATTTTAATATAGTTAGTGTGATTGATATAGTTGTATGAACATACATAAAAGTAGAAAAAAAAGCCCGTTATCATATAACAAAATTTGCGAAAGAAAATCCTACAGTTAAATTTGCAGTATTCATCTAACTTTTCTAATTTCATTTTTTATATTTGTCTTGGCACGTGGTGTATTTTTAGAAGTCAAATTATTTTGCTTTTTTTTTGTCTTAATGTTTTTGTGGATATTATGTCAATCAAATTGGTGTGGATTTTTAAAAAAAGCATTTTCAATTAGTATTAAAAKGAAGTGCAAATCTACTTAATAGCCAATCTCTTCTTTTTTGTCTTGTATCCTTCACAGCTTCATTAATTTGGGTAAAGCTGTATAGCTGCTCTGGGAAATTATGTCTGAATTAAGTAATCTGAGGAAGATATTTCTATCTGAGGAAGATATATCTATTTCCTAGATATATATCTGTATYACACAGATCAGATTAGAGCTGCCCTCACAGGTCGAGGATGCTATGATTTTTGACAATGCATCCTTGGTTATTTCTTTATCAGTTGCAGATACTTTGAGAATCAGTGCTTTGGCTGTCAACAATCAATACCTACAGCACTAAAATTAAATATCTTTTGTGTATCCTATTTATATATGGAGTTTTTTAATGACTGTAGGATGTGTTGACTGGAACTATAAATACAAAATATAATTTTTACGTTGAGGAAAGTTTTCATTTTTGTACTCAGATTGTTATYGGTTTGGAGGATATCTGCTTTTTAGTGTTCAAAGGGGAAAATAGAAGCATAACTTCTAGTCACCACTTTCAGATATTTATTGAATAATCATTCTTCATTCCACTTGACTTTATGAGTGGTGGCTGCAGCAGATGGAGTCAACAGTTGGCACTGATATTGATGACCCTTTTTCCTTGAGCTGTCCATATCCAATCCTCTTTGGGGTGTTTTCTCCAATTCTTTTGCATTAAGGGGAAAAGAAATGCTGGATTCCTAGAGGGCCCATGTTGCAGACTACAGACATGTATAGGACATTTGGTAGAGATTTAAATCTAAATTTTACCTAAATTCCTGTGCCTCAGCTTCCTTTTGGCTGGGTGCTTCTGAGGGCCAAGATTAGGTCAAGAGAAAACACAGAGAAATACAAGGACACAAATGAGCTATAGGCTTCTTGTGTCTGTACCAATCACAGTTTGAAAAATGTAGTAGGATGATGAGGTGGAGGTTTCAGAATCACTCCTAGCTTAAATTAAAGGGGGGTAAAAAACCCTGATCCTGGTTTGGTGTCTGCTGAAGGCAGTGGAAATCTGTCCATTGGCTTCAGTGCACACCAGATTAGGTTTTAGGAATAGGCAGAAAATTAAGTGGGCGTAAGGAATAACAGATGACCAAATGGGTGTATTATTGAGTGATGGATACATGAAAAAAATAATGTTTTGTGGTTTTGCCATCCTGAAATGCAAGTATCTCATTATATGCAGAAAGGCCTTTCTTTCTTTGATTYATCTTCAAAATAAATAAGAGAATATCTCAATTACATCTGCTAGATAATATCCATTAATATCAACATTAATACTATAAAATCAACAAGGAGAAATTATCATATTGGTGAGTTTACCATGTAACATCACTGCATATATTGGATAAACTAGATAAGAAAAACATTTAAAACTAAAAATAATCCACTCTTATTAAAGATATACACTTAAATCCACTCTTCTAATGGCATTCAGTTCACAGATCCATCAGTCTGTTATTCTAATGCTGTGTCTTGTAGCAGCTGCTGAATTAATGGCACCATTTAATTTGAGATGCTTTGAGGTTATCATGTGTCATGTAGTTGCTGTTAGAATGGTGTGAGTTAAAAGGGCAGATATAKTAATAGCAGGTCTGGGCCTGTGAAGGTTTACATCTCAGCTTTGTTTTGTAAATCTTTTCCTATGTAACCTGAGACACGGATTGGTTTATTCAGTAGTCAGTCTTTCCTGAGTGGGGTTTTTTCCTTTTTTTTTCCCCCCCCTTTTTTTCCCTAATGGTAAGAAAATTTACTTATGCAGTGTGTAATGACATTATTAAGTGCTGACATAAGTCAACTGTCTTACTACTACTGTAAAGAAAAAAAAAATTGGAAAGACTCAGGAAAAACTTTCAATTCTGAATCTATATTCTCTTTCAACCTGGTCAGCTTTGGTCTCTGCCAGGTACCAGAGCCTTTTGACCTCATCTGTATATCTGTTGCCACCCTACTGTCATTCCCATCAAGTAGCTGTTCCTAATAAAGGCCCTGCTGGTTATCCTGTTTCTATCCTGAGCATCCTAATTAATCACCTATTCATTACTTAGAARCCACAGCCAGCTAAAACAGCAGGATGAAGGATCTCATTCACACTAACAAAGGAAGGCCTATTACAATCAAGATACATAAATACAGTTGGGGTTTTTTTTGCATGTTCCACTGTATGCACACCCTTGCTCTTGGAGATTGTTTTTTGAAGGGAGAATTTATCTTTTTTTCCTGAGATGTAGATAGCAATCACTTGGAACAAGGCAAATTTGGAAGTTGTGAAGGATTTTGGGAATACRTGACTTGGAGGCAGACTGGGAGATTTAAATGACTTGTTGACACTCTGAATTAGCCTATAAAGAAGAAATATTTCTCCCAGTGGTAAAGCTCATAAACCTTTTTGCACAAATGATCATAATTAGAAAAGCTTTTAATATGATCAGTTTAGACACCTGGTCAGGTTCAGAAACCTGCTCTTTTTAAAAAGAAATTTGCAGATAAAATTTCTGTAATATCTGGCTGTTTGAAAGGACATACACACTGCTGGAGAGCAGWAAGGTTAGGAGTTGTATTTTGACCATGGTAAATCTTTTGCTGTCTCTGGAATATGAGATATCTGCTGAAAAGTGAGAGCATTGGCAGGAAAAATTCTTCACAAGTATGGTTATTTTCAGDATCTCTCTTTTGTATTAAAGTTCTTGTTGAACTCTATCAGCATTGCTCCTGAGCCCCTTAAAGGGTTGAAAAATTTCTTTATTTGGCACTATTTGCCTTTAGTTTTCCCCACAGATTTTCTTGTGATTACTCCTGCCTTATTCACTACAGAAAGAAATTCATCTYAGCACTTGAAAACTCTTGTTTTCCTCAAAATACTGCGTTTGAATTTCAAATTCAGATGAGCAAACATGGTGACATGGCACGTGACATGTCCTCTACTAAGTGCTCTGAGGACAATCTACCACCTGTATCAAGCCTTGCCTCAAAGTTTGTTCTGCTGTGCTGTAACTGGCTTTATTTACTGATTTCTAAGGGCTCTTCTCTTCATGTTCTGAGCTGTATGTAGTTCTAGAAAGAAACAGAAATTTCTTCTAGTAGAAATGTATAAGAGCAATGYTCAGTTTGGCATTTTTTTCATAATGCTCTTTAATTGAAATTAAGAAAGTGAAATAGAATTTRATTACTAACATACAGATCTCCATTTTGTAATTTTTGTTAACATTTTGAATTTTTGTCCTCCCATCTTCTCAATCCATGACTCTTCTGGGTTTTATTGGGCATAAATATGGTAGAGTAACCAGTTTTCCAAGATGGTGGGCAGAGGATGTTTCTTTGTTCACTGGGCTCTATGCAAAACCAATGATTCGCTTCCTTTTTGTCTCTTGAATGAACACAATATTCTTAGAATRTCCTGAATTCAAGGGACCTTTGAGTCTAACTATCCAACAAGGATCTTTGAGTCCAACCCTCCCTTGAGCCTGCAAGCTCCCTTTTCACATCCTAACCAATTTCATACCCCCTGTTTGGAAATTGTCAGCATTTTCATTCCAGATATRTGTAACTGTGGAAGGGTAGAAGATAAAAGAGGAACATTTATGGCTCTTAGCAGACCCAAGTCTTTGATGAGAGCTGGGCATCTGTTTGTTAAAACTGTTTAAAACTCCAGCAGCATAAAGAGCAGATGATTGTGTGGGATATATGTGACAGCAGAAAAGAYCCTGGGAGTTTTTTAAACACTTAAGCAGTTTATAAAATACATGTAGATAGTTTTTATCCAGTTGTTAATTAGTTAATCAGTTTGAAGTAATAGCATGGTTCTTATTTTCTGATGGCAGCAGCAGTAAGGGTGAGTCAAGTGAGGTCATATGTCTTCCTAAATTTCCTGGTTACAAGTGGGCAAGGTTTATTTCCAGCACAAACAAAAGTATGTTTTCTTTAGGCTTCTCCTTCACCCAAGCCCTCAGTTAGCCACAAGGAGTCAGGAGTTTGACAGAAAGTCAAATGACAGAAAGTCATTTTCCCATCATGGTTGAATACATTTAGTGGGAACAATGAATTGAGTTTGAATTGTCAGTCAGTCACTGCTTTTGGTTAAGCAATGGTATTTTAATTAGAGAACCTGCTTTCATGAAATGTCTTATTTTATGAATACCTTTTATATTTAATTTCCAGCTCAGCCTGCCTTTTTACTAACAGGCTTTCTCTGCTGTGAGTTTGTGCCTTAAGGTGTGTTACAGCAAACAAACAGTAATGTCATCATTTATGTTGGGTGACAGGATATTTTGAAAATATTATAGAAAGAGTTCATAATTTTTAAAGTTTAACCAGCTAATATTAATCACTGTGTACTTCAGTCCCTGTTAGTAAGAGAAATCTCACATTTAATTGCCCTTAATTACTTTTTTTTACTCCCTTTCCTCCAGCTTGATAGTTCCTACTCTCTGAAAGGCTAGATTAGATTTTTTTTCAAAACATTTGTAGCTTGTAAAACTTTCATTTCCTTAACTTCACTATCAAATTTGTTTCCCTACCTGTCATTTAATTATTAATTTCAGTCTGTATGCATTTGTTACTGTGTTAAAACATTGAATGGAAAATTGAGCTGAGAGGAAAAAATCATTTAGTTCAAATTATTTCTCCACAATTCCATAATGCAGTATAATAAATACTATGTTTAGAACTACAAATTAAAACATTATTTTAATGGGAGTTTTTAATTATTGTTTCTGGAGAGATTGATAGCTTGTGAAGCGGTATATTATTTCAGTATGAGCTTTCTTCAGTTGTGTTCTTTGAAAGTCAGAGGAAGTCCAGTCCAGGCTGAAAGACACATAGATATTATAAATTTTATAAGAGATGATGCAGTAATTATTTTTGATAACAGAAAGATAGGCATTGAGTACTGAATGGAGTGCTGAGATAAAACATACAGTTGTGGTGCCATACATGGTAGTATCTGATACCATTGAGCCATTTCCAAATAGTAGATGTAATTTATAAYTTTTTCTGTTTAAAGAAGGCCAGCCTCCATCTCCTACAAAGAGCAAAGAAGAGCAGCCTGAGGACCTGCAGGAYGATGCTGAAGGTAGGTGGTCTGACAGCTTCTCAGAGCTATTAATATTCTCACATTTGGAGGAAGAGTTTCTTTTGAACTCTTGGGAAAGAGCTGGAAAACTTTCAGTTAAGAATGCTGCTTACACACACTCAGAGAGAGTTCTTTTTGGCCTAGGTAAAGGATTTAAATTGTTCTGAAGTATATTTCTTCCTAAGGTAGATTCACAATTACAAGTCCTGTTTTTATGTGATGGGCTACTGATTATTGCTGATACATCTCAATAAATTGCTGCTGTTTTATCTCCAACCTGTTCTGACTTCGTGTAATTAAAAAGCCCGAGTGTAATCCATGTTGTGCAGGGCTTGGGTCGTAATCTGGTTGGTTAAATTGGTCAGGTACTTACTGCTAAACACAGAGCAATATAATCCTCAMTTTCCTTTTCTGCAATAAATTTTTGCTATTTTCCTTTTTACAATCTTTATGTTTCCAGACCTTAAAAGTATAGTAGATTTAACTGCAGTTAAAGTCACAATTGTTTAACATTGTGCCTATAATGTTGTTCCTCTAAGGCTCCTTTCCTCAACTTGAATCTTCTCTAGGAAAGTTTGCCCATGTGTATGGAGATAAGCATGATCTATGTTGTTCTAAAACTGTTTCTGAGGATATTTTCCTAATCTGTRTCTCATTGGGAGAGTTGTTAAAAGGTGTCAACATCAAAGACTTGTTTTCAGAGTGCACAGTTTCCCACTGTTTTCAGATATGTGGAAGAGCAAAATGCCCCAATGCTGAAGAAATTCCCCTTCTGTGAAATAATTCAAAGGATGGACCTTAATCTTTAATCCATGACAGTTCCTTATCATGAATTTTTTTTTTTTTTACCTAAAATTCCTCAAATAACACATCTCATTCTGCATTTCAACCAGTGGTTCCACAATCTCCAGCATTTTGACCTAGCACCATGCATTCAGCTCCTAAAATATTCTGACTGGAGTATGGTGTGAGTCACAAAGGGCAGAAAAATGTTATCATCCATCACTTTAAGTAACTGCTAGYAACATCCTGTCACTAAGTTGTGACTGGTTGTTAATGGCAAGTACTTAAATCAGTAGCTGTCATCACCTGGAAGGTGTGGAGGGACCCAAGAAATTTCATCACACCTGAGCATCTTTCCTTTCATGCTGCACTGATCCCTGACACTGAATTTAAGGTTAAATTAAAATACCAATTTTATGTTTGGATTAAAGAATTTGGCAATGACAAACCACATGTTCATTTGTATGTGGACTAACCCTTGGGTGGGATTGTGTTGATACTTTCAACATTTCTAAATAGGCAGAACAATAGTTGTTTTATGATATATTCTTACATGAAGTGTGGCTAAAAGTTTTCACTGTATCAGTGTCTTGAAAAAAAAAAACCCAAAAGGAGGAGAAAATGTATTGTCAAACGGTGAGGTTTTCCTTYCTTTCAAAAATTAACTRATGTTGTTTCAGTCTTTCTGTGGCTTTGTAGATAGTTTCCTATTTCCATGTTTCCTGGTGATCTACAGTCCACTTTGTGAAGCACAAATAAATGCATTGGAAGGGCAAAGTAAATAGTGTTGCAATAGAATTATGTCATTATTCCTGAGCTGTAAAATGCCTCAACTCCTTGAATTTGATGCCATACATCCAAATTTACATTTTGCTGATGCATAATCACTGCTGCAGGATGTAATGGCAGGGCCCCCATCTCCTCGGCAGGAACGAAACCTGTAATGCTTAGGATTGAAAGTCTAAGTGTAGATTAAAGAGGTTTTGTGATAGTGAAAAAAAAAATAGGTAATTAAAGTGTCTGCTGAGGGGAGAAACCTGGATCAGATTTCTGTGCTATTACCTGTGCCTCTGGAAGAGGAGACAAGAAGTTGGGCTCCAGACACTGAATTCCTCTCAAGTTGCCAAGTGGCTGGGGTCTAATGTATCACACCTATGAGCTATTTCCATTGAAGTAAATGGGATTTACACACCTCTGAAAAGAGGATTTAGTTTGTCCTGGGTTAATTATTAGCTGTTGATTTTGACTAATTAAAAGAACTTTTGATGGGGACCCTTGAAGATTATGAAAGTTCTGAATATGTGACATGAACCACAACTACATGTATGAGTAATTTTGTTTAGGTAGGAGTTTCTCTTCACTTCCAAAAAGCTACCTTTTTTTCTTTTTAAAAGAAAAAGTTAGCAGATAATGCATATAAACAGTCYTGAATAAAACATAGCAAAGCCAAACTCTACCTGAGGTCAACTTGGTTGAATTTCCCTCAGGGTAAAACTGAAGTGCTTTGTGGTTTGGTGTGTTTAAATTTTGGAATAGTTCCCTTTAAGTACCCCAAGTTTTTAAAAATTTAAAAAAAAAAAAAAAAAAAAAAAAAAAAAAAAAAAAAAAAAAAAAAAAAAAAAAAAAAAAAAAAAAGAGAAAAGAAAAACCAACCCAAAATTACACGCACACAAAAGCAAGCAAGTATAAAAACCAAATTCCCACAAAACAAACAAACAAAAACTTCCAAAAGCCCAACCTGTGCCTTGTAGCAATAAAAACAAGTCCAAGTTTAACACAGGATATTATTTTCCCCTTGGTAAGATGACCAGCTATAAAATATTTAACAAATATACCCTAAGACATGGGAAGAATGCAATGCATTTTCCTCTGCTTGGTTGTGAGTGCCCTTTTAGACTAAAGATGGGAATACAACTTGCAATATTAGCAGCCTCTTGTCTGCCCTCGTGGCAGTCTCTGAAACCTATTCCACTAAGTTCAGAAATATTTCTGCTGAAATATTTTTTTCCAGCTTGCCAGGCTGGTTGACTGGCTAGAGGTAATAGAGCAATATCTTTTCAGTGCATGTAAAAACCTCCACAGCAGATTGGGGAGAATAAGGTTTTTTTTTGTTATTACCCTCTTTGCAATCAAGGAAAGGTAAGTGGCTGTATGTAAGAAGCTTGTTTTGCAGTAAGCTAAAATAAACACTTGACATGCTAATGAAAGCAATCTTATACCAAACTCCTAAAGTATTAATGGGGTCTGTTATTATGCTATTAGATATATTGTTCTCTGCCTCCAGATTGTTAGCAGAGAAAAGTAAATGTGAACTGCAAAGCAGATTTTCATGTCAGTGGCTGTATTCCACAGATTTTCACTGCAGAGGTATTGTCTGTGAAAATGGATAGATTGAGAAACATATTTTACTCCCATGTTCCCTACAATATTTCAGGTTTGACATGTGCAAACATGCCATATGATTTTATTCTTTTTTGTTCTTTTTTCTTTCCCCCGCCTGTTTCCTACATCCTGGGAGAGTAAGAGCAGTCAGGGATAATTTTGCCTTTACTTTAGTCAGGTAAATTCATTGATTGAGTAATTGTAAAGTGTCAGGTAAACAAAATATGTTTGGTACTAAACTAAACTGAGCGTGTTTTACTTCAGTAGCTTCATAACACAATCTYGAAGTGGTTACATAGATGAAATAGCTGTACTTGTCACAGCATAGCAGCCATGAGTTGGCACAAATGCCACAGGTCACCTGTTCTCATTCTTATTGTCACCACGCAAAAGTAAACCATTTATACAAAAACCTACCAAAGCAAAAATTTTAAAAAATATTCCTTGTTTCTCCTACCTGCCTTCCCATGTAGTGAACATCCCCGTATGTAGTGAACAGTGTGGAGTGTGAAATCAGTTTTTCCAATAGTGGGAGAAGCAAAAGTGTTTGCCCTTTGCTTCTTTATGGGATTTCTCAGATATAAARCAGAGCCTGCCCAGCAGCTGCCCCATCCATTCCCATCGTGGTCTGTGTGAGATCAATRTTGTATCAAAGATGAGTAACGCATCTAGTAACAGCAGGACAAAGGCCTGCTTTTTCTCTTTCTCCAGCAGAAAAATAATCAATCTGTGCAGCAAAAGCCACTTCTTTGCCCTCCTTCAAGGGATGTGAAGGCAAAACTGGAGTTCTGGAAGTTTTCTTACTCCAGATTCTCTCATAAGCTGCTCCCCACTTGAATTCCTCCTGAGAGACTGATAAGCTGCTGGTTTCCCAGGATCTCCTGTGCAAGGTGCAGGTCTGTTGAAGTTGYTTATCCAGGATGAACTTTCTCTGCTTTCCATTCACTTGTTGGGAAGGAGAACAGATTGATCAATAAGCCAAACCACAAAGGTAAAAATTAACACAAATCACCTTTAACAGAGTGGATAGAGTTGATTCCTGTGCCTGATGGATTCATCATACTTTGGCCTTTTGGCTTGCAAAGGTAACATCGCACATTACCTTGTGAGAAATGTTGTGTTAGAAATCCAGGTTCACCCCCTAATTTGGTGGAGGCTCTGTCSGTGAGAGATGTTGATCTAGTGATTGAGTACACCACAGAAATGAGGAAAAATCAAACTGCATCTCAACAACTCATTGGTCCAGCAGGTCATGGCCATTTGGTAGGACTCACCAAGAGGGAGACACCCTGGCTCCTTATCCCATCTCCCAAAAAAATGTTTGTGAAATGGTAAAAAATGCATAGTCTTGAGACTAGACATTAAACCTCTGTTTTATGGCTTAATCCTCTAATTGAGATTAACATAAGGCTTCCCCTTCCTGCTTCTTCTTTACATGCCATGAATTTTGCAGCTGTGCTTCTCACTCCCTAGCTTCATGGAGAAGAATCTAATGTATGCCCTCACCATAATCCATGGCATTGTGGGCTCAATCCTTCCTGGAGCTGGTGGGATGCACACAGTATCTGCTCTTTCTTATTATACAGAGATGTTCTAAGCATTTCTTCTAAGAGTCTTTTAACACTTGGTGCAGGCTTGGTTRTCTTTCTGTGTAAGGTATGAATTAATATTATCTAGATTTGACTTCAAAATCTTTTTATTATGTTCTGCACTTTGTAACAAGTGGTTCTTTTATCACTTGRTAAATTGTAGCTGCAATCCTACTTTGCATCCCACAGGGCAGTTATATTCTTCAGTAAATTTCTGCTCCAATCATAATCTAAAAATGAACATTG